GGCTGCAGCGTGCAGGACAGAGCAGGGGCTGGAGCGCCGGGGCGCAGCACTGCACCCCTCTGGCTCCCTGCCGCAGGTGGGACCCTCCGGCCCCGGCCCGGGAAAGCGCGACCTCCGCCAATCCTGGCTTCCCCTTTGCCCAGGAATAATTCCCACCTACGCTGCAGAGGGTGCGATGGAAGCGAAAAAAACAAACCAAAGCAGAAACAGACAACAACCAACCAACCCCAAATCCACAACACCTGAAAGCCTGGAATGAAAAGCTGCGTCGAAGAGCTTTGCTCTTTTCCCCGATGCAAGCAGGAAACCGTCTCGTACTGCGATGGTTGTCGCCCGGGTGGGGGGGCGCTGAGCCCACCCCTCCCGCCTCTCTGGCTCCAGACGCCCCCCGGGCAGCCCCGACAGCTCCCGGTTCCTCCGAGTTCGCCAGCGCTGCTGCCAGGACGGCGCTTGGCCCTTTAAGCACGGGGCCGGCCCTGCCTCCCGAAGCCTGCAGCGCTGGAGCTGAGCTGGGGAATGGGAAGCAGTTCCTGATCTGGGTCCGAGCGAGCGCACACAGCAGCCGCAGCAGCAGCCGCAGCAGCAGCCGCAGCCACCCCAGCTCCCCAGCAGCATCCAGCGTGGGGATCAGCGAGAGCTCTGCCTGCTTCCCTGACACGGGGTGCACGTTCCTCAGCACTGAGCTCAGCTGCTGTAAAAAGCAAGTAGGACAACATACAGCTGGATAAAATTGGTAAGTCCAACTAAACTCACAGCCTCCTGCTCCAGCTTGCAGTTTTCCAGTCTCTTACTTTGTAATGTTTCTTTTTGCAGGCCGTTTTTTAAATTGTCTTTTAAGCAGAGCAGCTGGGAAAACATGGAGGCAAAATAAACGTGTTTTAAAAAACAAACTTGGAGGATTTGTCAGTGTTTGTGCTCCCGTTTTGCTATTCTCTGTCCACATTGACGTTTTGCTGCAGGAGTGGGGAAGGGGAAACCAGCAAGTGCTTTTTTTTTTTTTGGGGGGGGGGGCAGAAAGCTGGTAAGAGTTGCAATTGGCTTTTCTAGCGGAGATGATTAAAGAGGGAGATTTGGAAAAAAAAAAAAAGACTTTCGAGAAGCTTGACGTGACTTGTCATTTACTTTTCCAGAGTAAAAACAAATCTCGCGTTAAACAGTTTCAAAGCGCACTGGGACGTGTGCAGGAGGAATGAAAATCTTTTAAAAGGCTGTGTTATCGGTGTAAATCTGGACGCCAGAGCATTGCCGAGCAAACGTGTATGTTTGTTTAAATGTAACTAACCCCACTGGCAGTTCTGGCGGAGCAGAGGCAGGAGCTGCCGTGTTCCCTGCACCGGACAGAGGGCGCTGCTGCCGCGTCCGGCGCAGCCCTCCCGGAGCTGGGAGGTGCTGGAAATTCCAGTGAAAAATCGAGTGGAGATAAGATGTTCGAAACAATTTCAACAGAAATCGTTCGCGCGTACGGAAAGCTCGAGTATATAGCGTCTAGTTAGAGCAGTCAATGCTTTTTTCATTTCTGTTTCCTTAAGTTGGGGGGAGGTAGTTGTTTCGATTCTTTGTTCTTTAACTGGTGGTCTGCATGGTAAAAAAATATATAAATTATGCTGATCAGCTTTAGAAATTAAAGCCTGGTTATGATCCTGTTATGTTTTCTGGAATGTGATTTGGGGACACCTTGAATAAAGGGATAGGGGAAGTATGGAATCTCTGACAGAAACTTCAGTAATGCTGTGGGAGATGGGGAAGAACTCTCTGTGTTGATCAAATCTCTGGCTGCAGTTAGTATGTTTCCATGTCAGATGTCTGTTCGTATCCAGCACAGATATGTATCAGAGGTTGGAGATCTATAAGCTGAATACTGAGACGTGTAAACCCTAATGACTGAACCACACATTGTGAAGCAGTTTGGGAAAAGGGAGAGAGACCTGTTCAGGCAGGCATATGTAGCTTTCTTCGTAGAAGTCCCAATACCGCTACTGGTACAAGAGGCTGATAATTGTGCCCTGATCTACCCATATATAACAATAAGATAATATGGTAACAGAATGTCCTTACCTCTGTGTGTGTAAACTTGATTATGTATAACCTGGGGTGCAGAATAATATTCTGATACTCAGTGGAACAGGAATTTGAGTTTCCTTGAATCAAAGGCTTTAAAAGGAATGAAGACATTATTTTAACTAATGCAGTTCTATTTCGAGTAGAGAAGGATCAGAGCTGTCAAGTTCCAGTCTGATACAACCTCTATTAGAACTTCATGTTTCTGTGACCTGGTGCTTTGGTGGGGGCCCTTAACAAGAAGATGTTTCTGTCTGGCTTTATTTCTGTTACTTACAAATCACTTGCAGTGGAGTGGAAAGAATTGCAGGTTTTGCATCCTTAATGTGGAGCATGCTGGGCAAAGCAGATTAAAAGATCTGAATGATCACATGGAACACAGTCATTCAGACTACCAATTATTGTATCTCATTGAAAACTTTAGAATGCTATTACCTCTGATGAATCAGTGGAGTAAGTGAGCAGAAGTCAGCTTTCTTACCTTCAAGGGCCAGTTAAACAGTTATTGTGAGGCAGTGCATCTTTGAGATATTGTTATTGTTTCAGGAAAAAAAAATAAATCCATTTCTTTATACTCCTTATGGTCCATTAGACATCCAGGTGCGAATGGCCCTTTGAAATTACTTGCTAGATCAGAGGAAAGATTTCAATCTTCAGTTGATCTCTGAACCAGCAGGCACTAGTTAGATGTCTGACTTCAGCTTCAGTAACTTACTGAGGAACCTTTTTTCTTTTTTTCACTTCAGCTTCAGTAACTTATTGAGGAATCTTTTTTTTCCACTTTCTTTCAAGCAGATTACTTGATGGCATTACTCAGCTGTTGCCCCTGTGTTGTGCAGGAGATGCCGTATCCCTGGGCGGTGGAGCACATTCATTGAGAATGATAGAGCAGTGAGACATCCTGAGGCACATTTGACCCTACCAGATGCTTGTCTTGGTAGCATGTTAATTTATTTACTGTAAGTCTGTGTCTTCTGCCATCACTCATGTTCACCTAAGCTGTTATCCTTGCATTCCCCCATCTGTTTAATCTGTCTGCATGACATTTTTAATATGGTAGCTGAAGTGATACTTGCCTATATTTCAAATTAAAATCTTGGCTTCACAAATGGAAGAGGCAGTTTGATGTGCCTGATCTTATTTTTGCTGTTTGGAAACTCACTGTAGTATTTGTTTAGTTTTGCTCCTGAGTGTTTTTCTTTGAGTTGCTTTGTACCTGAGAGTCCACAAGGGAAGTCTGTCCTTGGCTGTTGCTGAGGTCACCCAGTTAACTTCTGCAGACTCTCCGAAACATTAGCTTAATATGACATACATGTGTGATATTTAAAATGTGAAGAAATCTTCCACCTCTATTTATGCCAAATTAAAAAAACGAAGATTCCTTGAGTAGCTTTTTTCATTAGACACTGTGCTTTTTACCTGTCAGTAGATACTTAGGATGTTGGCGGTGCTATAAATTCTGTGCCTACCATTGGAGTGCTTATCTACTGCTTGCTTACACTAACAGTAACTGTGCTAAGTGAGTCTAGCCAGAGCAAGACTCATGGTTACTCAACAACTTACAGACAGTTTTGTTTCTAATATTTTTAGTTTTGGTCTTTGTTTTGCAGAGCTTCGGGTTATTATTGTTAGTTCATCTTTGGGCATCTTATTGCCATCTACTTAATGAAGCCTGCTGCAAAATTCTACCTCTAAAAATGTTTCTGGCTTCATGTACTGCAGGATGTTATCGCAAGTTATGAAGACTTGTGACGCTCACATAGCTGAGATAAATCTTGCCATATCATCTCTTGTAGGTAAAGCCCTTTTTTGCTCTCTATAACAGAAGCAGGATCCCAACTTAAACCCTCAGTTTTGTATCAAAGAGTCATTGTGCTGATAGTGTGTTAACCTGTCTTGTTCTTTGATAACAGATTTCATCCTAGACGAATTTTACATTGGACAGTGATAGATGTGGTTTTATGTCTGATGTTTTTGCCTGTCTCCACTTTTGTAATCATTTGAAATGCCACATTTTTCTTTACACAAGGGACATGTTTATCAGTATAAGTGGAGACCTCTCAAGTCGTTGTCCTGCACAATATCAAGAAATGTTGACTTACAGAGAAGGTGAAGGAAAGTAAATAAGATTTAATAGCTCTGAAGGTTGAGATGGAAAGGAATTATTGCTGGAATGTGTTCCCCAGAGAATAATTTCAGTGGAGTAGATACCTGTATGTAGCTAGTCTCAGCTCTTCCAGACTACATCAGATCTGCCAATGGTCATGTGCAGGAGCATCCTCTAAGGAAATAATTTATTTCCATCTTTGCATATGTACAGCTGTCATCTTGTGTCTGAGACAGTTGATGGCTGAGCTGTTCCTTCTTCTTATCTGTAGTTTCAAAGTTCTTTTCTTAACCAGATTCATCAGAAGCCTTGGAGAGCTTCACTCTCTCTTTATTCGCTATCCATTATTGATAATGTAAATTCTTAAATGTAAAAAATAATAAGCAAGGCTTTAAAAAACTTTTAAGCACTCTACCAGTTTAATTGTAGTTACAAAAACATGATACTGACCTAACACATCATTAAATAAGCGCATTTAAATCCTGCATTGACCTTGTCAGCTGGTAAATCAAAGCAATGGCAAAATCCCTTTTGTTCTCTTTGCTACACCCTGAAACCTGTGAAATAATCTGAGCACTTAGCAAAAGTATGTACCAAGTTGATGTCTTTTGGAGCATGATAAGAGGTAGGGATTTCTAGATTCCGAGGGGTCAAAAAAAGCTCTGCTGAGATCTCCCCTTCCATTTTTTATAATTGGATAAATTCAAAAGAGCATGGATTGTGAAGGTTCCGTGTAAGAAGAAAAGATGAAGTGGCAGCTGGCAGTGCTGTTACTTAGCACAGGTTGCACTTCTAGTTGCCTTCACTGGAAAGGATACATTTTATACTCGGGGCTGTTATTTAACATCTTGTCAAGTTGTTCTTTTGGGAAGGAGTTGGTGGTGTGGGTAACTGATTCACAATACAGTTGCTGACTTTTTAAGTGGAGCAGAGTGCAAAAACTGTTCTGAGATCTTCATATGCATAATTTCTAGTTTCCTGCTGTCGTGCCTCATTCTATTTTAGAAACATGACATGGTGAGAAGTGTGGATGAGTAGAAGGATCATCACATAATGAACTGTCTTTTATCATAGGTACTATGATGCAATCCAGGTGCAGCAGGTAGGGCACCCTTTGCAACCGCCCTTCTCAGTTCTTTCCACTTGTGCTTCAAGTTTTTTGTAACTGGGCATTCTGTCATTTAGCCAATATGATGTGTTAGCCAGATTGTGTGTCTAGCTCTGCAGCCTATTTCTAGATGTATCAAGACCTGTAACTTTACCTACATCTGTCAGATAGCTGTGTTTATTTTGAAAATTACCTGGAGAAACACTGTCATTTTATTCCTCCAAGAGAATATTTTCCAGCAGCTGATGAAACCCAAGCTCATGCCAGATGAAAAGCTCTTGTGTTATCAGTTTCAGTTAATTAAAAAAATAAATCCCAAATCCCTTATAGTGGCAGTTTTATAAATACCATGTGTGTGCCTGTACATGTATGTGCATGTCTACACTAGTGCTTCACTCTCGTGATAACAGCTTATGCC